ATAACCTATTGAAAGATTAAAGCATTACATTGTAAAGAGATTAAGGACCATAACACTCAGAAAAATGCAACAAACCCAGCTTGCAGAAGCAATCCTGATATGCCTGACTTCAGTTGTAAATACATAAAATAACTGAAACTAGTCCATCGTAATACTTAGATGGACTTATTATGAGAACTCTTGAATTTAATTGGGATTAAATATAAGATATGTATATGAAAAGGAAAAAAATGTCTCTTGAAGACAGGAATTATTTTTATCAGCAATTCCTACAGCTGCAATGCTAGATTATGGAGGATTTTGCTCAATATTTATGATTAGTTTATTTGTTGACTGGCACACCATATGACAAGCAACCCAAAAAGTTTTGCAAAAGCAAATCAGATGCAAAATACCAAAAGAATCTCTTCACCCACAGTATGTACTTCGAAATAGAGCTGTGAAATCCATCATATATAATATATATGGATGCATTGCTTTGTCTCCAGTCATAGGTTCTTTTGGATTCAGAAACAATAACTAATTTACCCTGAGGTAAGATGGGTGGCCTATAGATTTTTATAAGTAAATAAATTACATCAGAGGCTTTACTGCAAGTTGGTATAGAAAATGACATAGTCATATAATATGAGATAGCATCAGGAAATGTACAGGAATACTAAAGAATATTACACCAACCAAAGAATACAATAAGAGGATGGATGGATGGATGGATGGATGGATGGATGGATGGATGGATGGATGGATGGATGGATAGACAGATGGATGGATGGATAGATGGAAGGATGGATAGATGGAAGGATAAAGGAAGGAAGAAAACCTGTTAGTCATGATCCTGAGAAAGATGTCAATTGGCAAATCTCTTCAAAACCAACAAATATGCACCACCTCTGGTTAGGTCTCCCTCAAAATCCTCTCCTTGAAGTTTTCTCTGAACCAGAAGTAAGCACAGCTGCTTTTTAATGGTCTCATCACTGGGTTTTACTAAGGACAAGGGAGACAAGCTACCTTACCTCAAAAAGCTTTCTTTTTCATCAGGCTTCTGTATAGAGCCTGATGACTATACAGAAGCCTGATGACAGGCTTCTGTATTGTGTCTGTCTGTGGGTCAGACTTTTACAGTGGTTTCAGATTTAAATTTGGGGCAGCCTATTGCTGTGCCAGAATGGTTTTTTCTTCATCCTGATTGGTTGGGAGTCTTGGTCTGTGTTTATTGGTCTCGGAGTTTGCTGTGTTCTGCTTGATGGGTGTCTCTGATATCTTCTGTCTGTTTTTTGGCTCTTTTTGTATCTTGATTGGCTGGCAGCATTGTGTTACTTTAATGGAGGCCTTTAGTGCAGCTTGGCTTCAGGTAAATGGACGGCTATCATTAGTTAGGAAGCTGGGTTTCATCTGGGTGCCTGGTTGGGGTGTGTTTGAGCTGGAGGTATCAAGGGGGATCTGTTTGTGCCCAGGTGTTTGCCTGGCTTGTGGTGTGGAGATTTTTTTGTTTGTGAGTGCAGGCTTCCAAAAGAAGCCACAGGTCATAGAATCAACTTCAATGGCACCAAAACCCTAGCCACTATAGAAAATCCCAGCCACAGAATCATCAGAGAAGCTATAGAGATTGAAAAAAGACTAGAAAGCATGAACAGAAGAGATGATTCCACCAGGCTGTCAATCTTTTGGGCTGTTCATTCATTTGACTACTGTTTGTTTCCTCTGGTGAAGTGGGGTATATTTCCTCCTTCCTCCAATCCTGTCTGGGCCTTTTCTTTTCTTTTGGGATTTATTTGTTTCAAGAAGTATTTTTCAAGGGGATAGAGAAAAAGTAGTCTTAGCCAGCTTCAGAGCATAATATTGGTAATTTTTGTATTGGTACTTCAGAAGTACCCAGACTTTTCAGTTTCTCCGATTGCTGATGGCTCTGGTTGGCTTCAGGCAGTTGCACAAGTACAGCTAGCCCTTTCTCCTGACAGTTTGGTGGCTTTCCTGGATTGAATGAGTGAATCACTATGCTTGTGATCTGCAGAATTCTCCCCTCTATTGTCACCTCTACAGGGCAACTTTCACCACCTTGGGGGTCTCTGGCAGGATGAAATCAATCACGGAAAGCAGAGCCCAGCTTTCCCTTGACCGTATCATCATGATACCAAACTGGAAGTCAGCAGGGTGCTTAGATCTGGCCTGTGGGGCTGCCCTGGAAACAGCAAAGGACAGGCCTTGGTGCCTCTGCCCTCCTGAGCTCTGTTTTTGGGGCAGACGGCTTCAGGAAGCCGTCGTGGCCACAAATGGAACCCCGGAGGGCTGTGCGCAGCCCTCCCAAGCTCTGTTTTTGCTGGCAGAGGGCTGCAGGAAGCCATTGCAGAGTGCTAGCAAAACAAACTAGTAGCAAAAGTGCCATTTGGTCACAAGGCAAAGAGGCATCGAGAAGTGTTTCCCCTTTTGCATTTGAGCATCCAAGAAGGGACAGGAAAGGAGAAAGGGAAAGAGGAAAGAAAAAGAAAAAGAAGGAAAGATGAAAAGAGAGCAAGGAAGGAAAAAGAAGGAAAGAGGGAAAGGAAGAAGAAAAGAGAAGGAAGAAGAAAGGGAAAAAGAAAAGGGAAAAAGAAAGGAAGGAATTTAAAAGCAGGAGGAGGAAAAGAAAGAATTAAATGAGGGAGGGAAAAAAGAAAGGATCCATGATAAGTTTTATCCATTTTTATTTAAGTGAATGGTAAAAGGGAGACTAATCTTTGAACTTGAACATTATTGCAGAAACAAATCAACTTTCATTCTTTACCGCTTCATTTGTTAACAGCTAGAGAGCAGGAGAACTGTGTAGAGCAAATGGGAAAGCTTTCTTTAAAGCCTCGGCCTGAGAGGACAGAGCAAAAAGCTGCCGCTTGCAATTATCTTGAACAAGAATTGGAGAAATGTCACACAGGAATGTTAACAAGAACTATCATAACAAAAGGAGATCAACACTGGCGATGAGAAAACTAGCCTCTTTCTTATTGTAAGAGGAGGGGAAGGGGGTGGGGGGTGCAATTACCAAAACCAGCAGAATGATCAACTCCACCTCTAGCCAGCCAAGAAAAATTAAAATTAAGCATTCTGCAAAGAACTGTTCCGTCCTTGGAAAAGGCAGCTGAAGGGAGGAACACAGATGAAGGGAGAGCTTGTTAGAAGTCATAGAAGTTGGGAGGGAGGGGGTCAGGAACTGCTGCTGGGGTGAAACCTCCCTCAGAACTGCTCAGAACATGGTCAGCCTGTGCGGCAAGATGGTCCCCAGGGATGCCAGGCCCTGCACAGACTCACCACCTCCTCTGTGCATGCCCAGGGGGTGGGGCAGGGGCAGCCTTTCCCTGGCTCTAGGGTAGCCCCACAAATCTAAGGCCCTGCATTCCAGCCCGGATGGCTGCCACGATCAGTGTCTGGTAGGCCTGGGCTGGACTGAGGCGCTGCAGGCCTGTCCTTCGCTTTTTCCAGGGCAGCTCCACAGGCCAGATATAACAACATTGTGGGCTGGATTTGGCCCACGGGCCTTGACTTTGGCATCCCTGTTCTAAACCATATGCATGGTAGCATCTCAGAAAACATATAAAAACAGTCCAGATATTAGGCTATCCAGTGTCTGAACTGTTAAGGAAGAGCATTGTTAATCAAATATCCTTTTTACTGTAGAGCAGGGATTTGTTGACGTGAGTGTGGGTGGTAGTAAGAGGAATCAATAAATAAAATTAATCCCTGCATGATCAAAGCCCTGGCCCATTCATAGTTATCTCATCCATGTTATAGCAGTCATTCAGTGATATATCTAAGAGCAGCAATCTGCCATGTAAGAGCCCATGTTTACTTGGGCTCTTAGCAAGCCTTGGTATGGCTCACACTAAACTGATATAACGGTGTTTCTTCTGCTCAGCTCAGGGGACTCATGAATTTTACAGATTCAGTTTAGGAAATTCCTTCTATTCCCATTTAAATTGAAATGGAATTGTGTGTGTGTGTTTATGCTTACCAATTGCTTTATTTCTTCAACTTTTCCTTCTGCAACAGCATCAGGTTTTATAATGACAACCATACATTTTTCCTCCTCTAAAAGAAAAGTAATAATTAATTTAGGAAGCTGTATAACTATTCCAAAAGAATAAATAATATAAGCACTTAATGCTTATTTGCTACTCTAAAAAGAACTGTCATTGAACTATTTGTGTTAGATATGGGCTAGATTGAAAGACAGGACAACAGGGAGAGGGAAAAGATCTCTTTATTCTGCTCCGAGTAAAGACTGCCACCAGGTGTGCCTGCTGTACTTTTTACAGGCTGCTGTCCACAACTTTAGCCACTGATGGCTGTTCATTTTCCCGCCTGGGGGAAGTCTGACACCACTGACTTTCCCCCATTGAATATCTAACGATTTGTGTCTGAGATCAATTTATTTGTCTGCAGTTATTTTTAAAGTTTTCTGAGTTAGAGGTGGATTACGGAAATGAAATAATTAAATACTTTGGCACTATAATTGAACCTGGAACTATAATTGTAAGTTGTAGTGGTTGTTAAGTGAGTTACCATGTGACTGCACCCAATTTTATGAACATTTTATGGCAATTATTAAGCAAATGTGTTGTTGTGAAGCAAAAACCATTAACATTTGACTGCAGGATGCTGCAAGTGGCTGTAAATGCAAGCTGGTTGCCAAACACGAGATCATATGTATGCAATGTAGGGGTGTGTGTGTGTGTGTGTATGTGTGTGTGTGTGTGTGTGTGTGTGTGTGTGTAGGGGGCATCAGAACTGTGGAATAAATCTGGGAAGGTCTTTTGTAAGTTCAAACAGATGCTAAATGACCATCATTAAGCAAGGCTAGCTGTATTCATTTCTGTTACATGTTATAGTGTATACTTACAATTGAAGTGCTTACTCTATATGAAAAATGCTCATTATTTTTTTAAAATGAAAAGTTGCTTTTTGATTCAACTGCTGCTAATTTTATACCTATACCTATAATTTTGTATGTATGTGATTGAGAACCTCTATCAAGATTCATGGTTGCTATACCAACATATTGGGGGTTTCATACCGTTTGCTCCACTTATGTTTACAATAAATAACATTAAAGAACAAGTACAGGTAGTCCTTGAATTATGAATGTAATGGAGCCTATTCCATTCATAACTTAAGGATTCATAGGAGTGAATCTCGTACTTTGACTCACCTCCAGCTTCTTCTTCTTCATGTTCTTCTTCTGATTCTTTCTCTTCTATAAACAAGAGCTCTGGCATCTAAAATTAAATGTTTACATTGTCAAACTCTAGGTTTTATTTAAAAGATTTATATATATGGTAGTTACTAATTTCTACATCTAATCTGACAATATATTTTAATTTTAAAAGCATTCTATGGGGATAAGGTTTTCAACCCAGTTTTCAAACTATAAAATAAAATCAACTGGGATATTTTTTTATATGAACTTCCAAGGATTGTAATAGCAGAAATGGTATGCCACCAGCAAAATTTTATCAACAGGAAAGGTAAAAATGAGAAGTAGGCTACACTTCTGTCAGTGCAGTTAAGAGACTATTGGTGAGCCAAAGGAACATCAAGGAGAATCATTACCTCATCCAGAGGCAAGCTGACTCTGCCAACAAGAGAAAAAGATGTATGATTTTAACCCCTGCGTTTCTCAACAAAGCATGCAAAGTGGAGATGGTATGTGGAGGTTCTGACCAGTTCTGGAGAACCAGTAGTGGAAATTTTGAGAAATTAAAAATTAAGGAGAATATGTAAATAAAAAAGAAGTATACATGTAATTAAATAATGAATGTTGAATAAATAAGACAAGGAAATATTATGATTATTAGATTTAGAGGATAATTGTGATAAATGTGATCTTTATCAGATTTGATATTAACTAATTATATGATAAAACTGAACAGAGTGTTTAATTAAATAATGGAAATTGTTTAATAAGGATAAGCGAACACTATGGTTAATAAATTTAGAGAAAAATGGTTATAATCAATATGCATATAAGATTTGTTATTTGTATCTAAAAGAGATTGTACCCAAACAGTTCACTGCCCATTGTGGATATGGAAAATTTATATATAACAAAGGAAATTGCATAACAATAAAAATAACATTTTAATACTTGCTGCTCAAGAACAAGTCCTACAAACTAATTCCATGAAAGCGAAGATACAAAAAAACACCGACAATCCAAACTGTCGAATTTGCAATGATAAAGTTGAAACTATTAAGTGTTTCACACTTAATATGTGACTGTAGCAAAATTGCACAAACTGACTGCAAAGCTAGACACGATCAAGTTGCTAAATTAATCCATTGGTCATTATGTAAAAAATACGCCCTAGCTGTATGAAAAGTCATGGGGACATAAAGTGGAAAAAGTTGTCAAAAATGAGTCAGTGAAGACTTTCAAATATAGACGGATCATCATTTGGAATACAACATGCCAGATATTATGGTTGTCGAGGACCAAAGTATACAATTTATTGATATTGCTGTACCAGGAGACGCCAGAGTCCAAGAAAAAGAACTGGAAAAAATCACAAAATATTGCGACCTGGCCATTGAAACTACACAATTATGGATGAAACATGTAACAGTGATACCCATTGTCATTGGGGCACTTGGTACCATGTCCAAGAATTTTACAAAACACTTCAAGAAATTGCAGCTTCCTGCAATAACACTAGCAAAACTGCAAAAATCTCCGCTACTCGGAACATCATATATTTTAAGAAGATACTTGGTTGATACCTAGGACACGGGCAGCAACCCGTATCAAACATTAGCACCAGTCGCTGGTATTTGTGATACATTTTTAAATGTTCAGTTGATTGAGTTTCATCTTTAATGAATAAAAAAGATAATGAACTTCCGGTTTGTCGGCTTCGCGAGCGGCAGGGATTTGCGAAGCTGCGCGATCCCTGCCGCGCTAGCCGTTTTTGGGGCTCCGACCCAGCCGGGTACGGAGCTAGGCTGCCCTGCAGGGGCAGCTGAAGGTAGGGGGGATCCGGAGAAGGGTTTGGGGGTGCTGCAGACTCCCTCCCTGGCCGGCAGAACTCCCTTTTCCCAGGACGGTGCAGCGGCGGTCTGTAATGGCCGCCACAAAGAAGCTGGCAGCCGGGTAAGAATGCGCAGGAGGAAGTGGAGAAAGTGATTGAGAGGAGAAAGTTTTTCTTGGCTCCTAGGACTCTAAGACATATCTAATAAAATTCCTGAAAAGTATGACTTTCTGAATAATACCTGCCAGAAGAGGAAAAAAGCGGCTGTGAAGGTGCTGAAAGGATAGCTTTCCCTCTTTTCCTACGGAATAAATAACTGGATATTAAGAAACCTATTTCTTTTAGGTGAAAATTGGTTTTAAGCGATGAGTGGGAAGAGAGAGGATTAAAAAGAAAACATTTGTATGCTAAGATTTGTTGGAGCAGATGCCTTAAGGATTTGAAGACTAGAATATATTGCAATAAGATTTTAAACAGATTTGGACTTTCTTTCTCTTGGATTGATATTGCCCCAGAAGGAGAAAGTGAGAATTCTGCCTTGGTTTGGACTGACTGATAACTTTGGGACTGTTTTATTTTTTTTATTTTCTTTTGAATATTCTGGTTGTTGTAAGAAGAAAGAAGGGGAAAAGAAAAGAAAAGATTTATAATGGCTCTTTCTGTTGAGGAACTAAGAAAAGAATATGAACAAGCAAAAAAAAATGGTAAAGATGGTGTGGAAGAAGCTTTCCTTTTCTTAGAAATGGCGCTTATTAATTATCAACAAACATTACAACAGATGAAGACAGCAGAGGAACAAGAAAGAAAGAAAGGAGCCATCTTTAATGAATCTCAGAACTTGATCCAGAAAGAAGGAAGAGAGAAAGAAAAGAAAAGAAGAGAAAAGAAGAAAATTAAAGGACTTAAGGACTTAAGATCTAAAAAAACATTTAAGAAAGGGAAAAATAAGGTGCAAAACCAATATGATGATAGTAAACAAAAGGGAAAAGGAATACGACAGAGAAGGGAAGCTGGCAAGGCAGAGGCTAGAAGAAGGGGGGGTAGAAAGGTTTGTTGGGAGAAGAAAGAAAGGGAAAAGGTGGAGAAAAGCTACAATGTCTTGAAATTAAATGAAAAAAAGAAACTTTTTTTGGATAATGGATAAAGTATAATTATTTTTTTTTAAAAAAAAAAGATTTTGCAAGGTACATAAGATGAGATGGTAGTATTGTAATGATTTAAGAGTTGATAAGAGATTAAAATGTTAAAATGTTTAAAAATGATTGGCTTTAAAACTTAATAATAGGGGAGGTTTAGAATATTGTTTTAATTAAAGAGTTTAATAAGACTATGGTATTGATGTTATTATAAAATTTTTATTATAGTATCTTTTTTTTAATATTTGGATTTATTGTCTAATTATGTACTTAATTATGTTGGATGTATTAGTTAGATAGAATGTACCAAGCAAAATCGGATTGGGTATTAGATATTATTTTAAAGATTAATTTGATTAACTTAGGGGGGAGATAGAAAGGCATCATACTCTGATTAATGATTTCAGGAGAAACTTATTTTCTTTTTTTTTTATAAGGAATGAGACAAAGGGATGATAAAAAATGGACAAAAGATATAAATATAATGATTCAAATTAAGATGATTAATTAAGATAGAAGTAAGAAGTGTGAAATATGTGGGGAAGTTAATATAGAAGGCTTAGAATGGTAAATAAAATAAGTAATGATATGTAAGATGAGCATGAATATAATTGAAGTCCATGAAGAGAGAGACACCTGGGTCCAAGTTACTTTCCAAAAAGATTTTTTTTTATGTTTTGTGTGTTGTGTGTATTTGTGATACATTTTTAAATGTTCAGTTGATTGAGTTTCATCTTTAATGAATAAAAAAGATAATATTAAAAAAAGAATTCCTAAGCCTGTTTGAAGTTCACAACTTTAAAGTTCCTAAGGCTAAAGCTAATCATTTTATAACTCATACAATATAAGCAACACAACAATTTAAATTATTGAATTTAGGACCAGAGGATATTTGACATTGGAGGACCAACCAATTTTTTTTTCAAACTGAAAAAGCAATAGGGTTGAAAATACATTAGATGAGAGTTTCTGGGGAGCTTCCCTCTTTTCACAATTTAGTGAAAAGTTCCAATAAATGCTATTAACTAGAGAGTGGGGACTAAGGTATTAATTATGTACAAGAGCAATAAATGAGCATAAAAAGCATGACAAATCAAATCTCTCCATAATGATACTGTAGGTGTTCATTAAAACCAATAGTTTTAATGAACTATAGGTTTTAATGAACACCTAGATTATCATTATGGAATATTGCTATATTATGATAGATTTGATTTGTTATGCTTTTTGTACTCATTTATTCTTGCACTTCTTTTAGACTCTTTTTAGATTTTTTTAAAAGTACTTTTAGATTTTTATGTAATTTTATTTTTGAATTTTGTATTTTTATGTTTTTAAATTCCTTGTATGCCACCCTCCTTAGGCTGGTCTTTGACTATAATAAAGATTGATTTGATCTGACTAAGCTTCATTGCCATCAGAGCAACTCCATGCAAAATATGCCTAATTTAGTATTGCACCTTGCAAAGAATCTGAATGTATTTAATGTTATTAGAATTGTGCTAATTATGAATTTGTCTCTTGACTTTAGCTCATCTTGAAAAAGCTAAAACCTGGTTAGTAATTGTATGAGAAATCAGCAGGGAATCTCAGATTATAGGCTAAATTGGGAACTAAAATGAAACTAGCAAACATTTTGGAAGAAGTCAATGGCAAATAACTTGCTATAGATATTTACATATCATTATCCAGAGAGATATTATCTTTAATTGTAAGCTTAGCCTGCTGTTGTTAATTTGTATGGAGCTGTGGAGGCCCTGGTGCTCTTTAAGCTTGGTTGTTCATTTGCAATTGCTTCATGTCTTGATTAGAAATGTCTACAAAGTAACAAACAAGCTCAGAGCACCAAGGACTTCACATTTCAACCCTATGCTACATATATTCTCTTCTACTATATGGCCATACTTATAAATCGATAGCTTTAGATCAGGGGTGTCAAACTCAATTTAATTGAGGGCTGTATCAGGGTTGTGTTTGACCTTGAGAGGCTGGGTGGGTGTAGCCAGGGTGGGCATGGCCATCTCGACATCAGTCATGTTGGGGGCACATGTAGCGGCCTGGATGGGGCTGGGGGTGATCTATTGTTTCCAGTGGAAGAAGATAAAACCAGGGAGA